CAGATGCAAGTGCATAAGGAAAACAGGCATACAGGAAGGAATATCAAAGAGCAGTATGGTATTGCTCCATAGACACTTAGCAAATAATTAAAATGAATTAAATATTCTTCAGTATATGTTTGTTCAGAAAAATGTAGAAACATTTCTAATTAATGAATTTCCCCTAACACTCAGTTTATGACTCTAAATGTGTTAGTTTCCCATTGCTGCCATAACAAATTAGCACAACTTAATGACTTAACATACACAAATTTATTATGTTGAGATTTTGGAGGTCAAAGTGAAAAATCAGTCTCATGGAGCTAACAGTCAATGTGTTGCGTGGCAGGGCTAGTTCCTTCTGGAGGTTCTGCAGAGGGTCTATTTCCTTGTCTTTTCAGCTTTTAGAGGCTCCTTGCATTCTGTGGTTTGTGGCCCCCTTCCTCCATATTCAAAGCATATTACCTCAATCAAGCCTTACTTCCTCATCACATCTCTTTCTAACTCTGACTCATTCTTCTGATTACCCTTATGAGTGATTGCATTGGACCCAGTTGATTAATCCAGTACTAATCTTCCCATGTCAAGATCCTTAACTTAATTACATCTTCTGTGTAAATTAATATACACACACGCTCAGGGGATTAGAATGTGGATTTTTTTAATTTACTTATTTATTTATTTTTAAAGTTTATTTCTTTCTTTTGAGAACAAATGAGGGGTCTTGGTTTGTAGCATAATTTGGTGGCCTAGACTCAGTATATTGCCCAAGTTGGCCTGGTAATCACAATCCTCCTGTTCAGCTTCCTACTTCCCAAGTGCTGGGACTATAAGCATGCATCACCACACCTCGCTAAAAGGGTCTTTGTAGATTTTTTATTTCTTCTGGTGGTGCTGGGACTCATGCATGCTAGGCAAGCATTGTATCACTGAGCTGAATCCCAGTACTATCTGTAGTCCTAGATGTGAATATGGTTTTGTTTGTTTGTTTGTTTGTTTTTTTGTGGTACTGGGGCTTGAACTCAAGGCCTACTCCACCAGCCCTTTTCTGTGATGGATTTTTTTCAATGAACTATTTGTCCTGTTGGCTTTGAACTGTGATCCTCCTGATCTCTGCCTCCTGAGTAGCTAGGATTATAGGCATGAGCCACTGGTTCCTGGCAGGATGTGGATATCTTTGAGGAGTGGCATTACCTATTTAATCCAGTTAAATGTGAGGAAGGATAAGAAAGTGAAGAAAGCCTCTCAGTGATGACAGAGTCCCATTGCTGGGAAAATTCTTCAGACTTCCATGGTATTTGGTCTAGTTTTGAGCTACCAAATAAGTGTAATAACATCCTAGGGGAATAATACAATTTAATGTCTAAAAATCTAGACATGGTCATCAAGAAGAAAATTGTCCAATTAATAAGTGGCCATGAAGAGGCAAACTAATTTACTTGTACAATAGGTGGTTGCTTTAGGAAAGGACCAGCTTTGTTTTAAATGCATTCAGAATTTAAAAGCAAAAATAAAGCCTACTGCATGAGCAAAAACATCCAGTCTGCAGAGGGCACAGGGAGTCAGCCATGGCAACAGCAACAGGACAACAGGGAACACGTTAGCTGTCCAATTATTGGAACATAGAGTCAGCGTGAAGCTCTTCTAACCTCCACAGAGTGGAGTAATAATACTAAAGCAATCAATATACTCCTAGAGAAAGAATGCAAGGGAAGAAGTCAATGGATCCAAGAGCTTGTTATATTCAGAAATAAGAAACCAACTGTGGCTAGCACTTTTTTTTGTCATTCTGTAACAGAGGAAAAGTCAGAAATTTGCAATTGCTTGCTGCTGGTGGCATTCTGACTGCAAAATCTCTTACTGTGAGAATTACTAAGTGCTTTTTCCCTGAGAATAAATGTGAACCAAGAGATAACCCAGTATTTCAGACGGTATCATCTCCTTAAGGGAGAAAGCAATGGGTAAAAAGCCAACTTTGATTAAAGTGTGTGCTCGACACTGAGAAATAAGACCAAAATAAGTGAAACCTTTCCTAAAATATGTTTTCACAAATGTGTGGGCAAAGGTGGAACACAGGTAAGACTTATTTAGCTCACCAGGTCTCTCTGTGTATGTCATGTGTGTTTATGAGATTGTCTACATCCTCAACCAAATAATGCCAAATTATGATGACTTATGAATGCACTTTTGAAAATCATATTGATGTTTAGTTCTGTAAAAGTATAGCTCTGTGAGAAACAAAGCATTTTTTTCATCAATACACTAGGCCTCTCTTATCCGTGGTTTTACTTTCCATGATTTCAGTTACCTATGGTCAGCCATGGTCTGAAAATATCAAATGGAAAATTCTAGAATGAAAGATGAAGAGACTACATTTCCAGAACTTTTATTATATTATTGTAATTATTCCATTTTATTACTAGTTATAACACTTACCATGCCTAACTTATCAAGTAAACTTTTATCATAGCCATGTACGTGTGTGTGTATGTATATGTGTATATTTGTACATAAATATGTTACAGTGTGTAGTAGTATCGTGGTATGCACTGGAAGTCTTAGAACTTGTCCTCCCTGGATAAGGGGATGCTACTGTGTGTACATATGTATGACCTTGGTTATAATATCTATGCAATCTTGAGCAATGACTTTAGGTGACCCCAAAAGAAGGGGAGGATTATAATTAAGAGACAGGCTTTGGAGTCAGTTCTAGAATTGAATTCCAGCTTTGTCTCTTAAAACTTTTAAAAACCAGATTCCTCATTTAAAAAATATTATTAAAGTCACATTGTTTTAAGAACTAAATGAAATTAATGTGAAACTCTTACATAGTGATTGGCACATGGAATATTTTTCTTAACAACAAAAATAAAGCAGACCAGCTAATAACAGCAATGGTAATAAAACAGAAGAATGAATAAACCATTGGGCTACATATTCCATTGTGACTTTTGAACAAGAATTGCTTTCATTCAATGCCCAAAACAAAAATTAGCTGGAATTAATTTTAAACTTTAAGTGGAAGATTTTCTAACACAAAAATCTTATTAAACTAGTTTTTAAAAGTCAGCTCACAGGTTTAAATTTAATTCAATTCAATTTTTTCCATTTACCAGGATTCTATTGACAGAAATAGTGGAAATGAACTTCTGAAAATGTGCGTTATTCTCCTATGTAAAACATATTTTCTATGAATATTATAGGTAGCAGTATCATAAAGTAGTGATGCTGGCAGAAACTAGAAAGTAGCTATTCTAATTTCCTCAATTAGATGAGATAAATAAGAATCAGAAATGCTAAGAACTGATCTGGTAACCCAGATAATGAGCTACAGAGTCAGGGTAGCAATGGCAGGCTTCTGACTGTCAGACTAGGACTCTTCATATAGGAAGGCTGTCCCATACATGTAGCAGTTAAAATTTGCCATCTAAAGGGCTGGAGGTATGACTTAAGTAGTAGAGTACCTGCTTAGCAAGCATAAAGCCCTGAGTTAAAACCCCAGTTCCCCCCACCCAAAAACAATAAACTATTTGCCAACTGAATACCTTCTTCTTTTTATGTGCATACCTTTGAAAATTTAGAACCTTAATTGGGGACTAGAAACTGGAGTTTTTATGTTGGTCAAAGTAGCTATTGTCAGGAATATGTACACTAGCAAGTGTATTGATTAGGATGTTACTAATTGATTTTCCCCAGTGAGTTCATTTCAAAAGACTTTTGCTTTCCATTGGACTCATGACTAGTGGACAGGCCAATCATGCAATATTGCAATAGCAGTGGAACTCATCAGACATCGGATGCCTGCTCTGTGCCATCATGTAGAAAAGTGTATCCACATTTTCTAAGGCTAGGTCTTTGTTTTTGAAAGCCTGGATCACTATTTATAATAAAAAACACAATTTTGTTGAATGAATTAAAAAAAGAAAAGACTTATACTTTCCTAACAATTAAATTTCTGAAAAGTTTATGTCCTAAATGTCTATTCCTCATTTCACTGATCTCTGGGTAAACATCATTCACAGAAGAAAACTGGCTTGTTAATATGGTACTATTTCATAAACTAGATGAAATATTTTGCTCTATAACTTTAAATTCAGTAAATTGATTAAAAATTTATGGTAAGGTTAAAGAAACTATTGGATAGGATATAAATATATCTAGTGGTTTTCAAAATTTTTCTGACAGTTCACATTTTTCTCCAAGTTTTCTACATTGTGTTATAAAGCCTTAATAACAAGCCCGGTAATGTGGGAAAAGTTCACATTTTTGATATTTGATATTTATAGTAGTCCTTTAAAAAGACTGTGAAAGAGAAACAGCTGCTGAGCAAACCTTTCTGTTTCTTTTATGAGAATGGAAGAAGGAATACTGAAACCACGTACCAAATTTCCAAATTGATCATGAAAAGTACCTTCAACTTCAAGAGGTAAATTCTTAGTTTAGAGAGTCTTGGGCCAGATAATTTTATTTTCAGACTCTGGGGCAATTCTTGGAATTTCTCAGCCTTTAAAACAAATAAACAAGTCCATGTTTTGTTTGGGTGTGTGTGTGTGTGAGTGTGTGTGTGTGTGTGTGTAGATTCACGACTAACTTTTTTTACTGGGCCCATTTCTGAATTGGAGCAGGGGTAAAGAAATATGCTTTATAAGGAATTTGAAATCACTGTACAATATGTGAGCCTGGCTTAGAAAGACTGAGTAAAATTAAATATTTTAAGAAGCACAACTTGGCTTCTGCATTTTTATCTATCTCCCTGTCAATTATTCCCTCTTTCCTACTTTGAGCACACCTATTTTTTTACTGAGGCAGAATGGAACAAGAAGAGCTGTAAGTCGCAGGACGCATAAGCCCAAAGATACCTTAGGTGAAAAGGTGAGAGGGCAAAACGGGACCAGCGAGTATTATAAGAAACCAAGGCGGGTTTTTGGAAAGGATGTCAGAACAAGACCCTGAGCAGTTTCACTTCCTCAGGGCGCCCAGCAAAGCCTAGCCCTGGCCCTGTGGTCTGAGCCCGGAGCTGTTTCCGGAGACCTTGGCCACAGTCGCCCTGGTGAGAGGCAGGCTGCGGAGGGGCGCAGCAGACAAGAGCGCGCTCAGAGCCTCTGGACAGGACAGCCGAGGCCAGGCGGGCAGGACAGCTGTCCCCAGGCCCAGCTTCCCGCCCGCCATGCTGCCTGCAGCGCCCGGCACAGGGGGCGCGAGTCTGGACTGGACCCCCTGTGGCCCAGCGGCTCCAGGTGGGTGGTCGCGCGTTCGGAGGGGCCTGGGTGGGGACCCGCCCGGGACAGCCCTGGGCTACGTGGAGACTAAGGGCCACCTTTAGATAACTGTCCTGGAGCTACCCGGGCCGGTGCGCCTCTGGGACCGGGGCTTCCTGGTTCTTCTGGTAGGTGCCAGGCGGCTCTGGGACAACCTCTGCTACACACCAGGTGGGAGCGCCTCCTGCCCGGGCCGCCCAGCAATCCCGGTGTCAGAGCTGCTGAAACTTTCCCGGGCACCCGGGGCAGGATCTTGTCCTTCCTAAAATCATTTTGCAACGTGTTTCAAAGCCATATGGCATCTTAAAATCCTGTGAACAGAGGAAAATCGCCTGTTTCATAGCATCGTCCATTTACCTGTCTGGTAAATGGATGGATTGTGTCATGCCTCTCAGACAGGTGGTCGTCCCACTAACTAGGAAAAGGAAAGCAGTCGATTTGGATGACTATATAAATAGATTTACATTTTCAAATGGGCATTAAGGCAGTTGTATTTAGTATTTTCAAATGCATATGCGAATTGTATAATAATTATTTTTTTAAAAGGTGCCCAGCCTTGAAAATTAAAACAAAACAAAACAAAAAACTTCACTAGGATTACTTTTGCTGGAAATGTTCATGGTGAGACATGCAAAAAAGAAAATACATTCTGAATGAAATTCTCTTAATTTGTTGAGCAGAATTAAATTGCTCATAGCTTTACTAGCATTTTTAAGATAATATTTTTGGCTTTTGTTGCTTCTCTTAGGCATTGAATTTTTTTAATAAATAAATTTGAGTGACTACTTTTCAGTTAAAATAGGAAATGTTTTTGTAACAATGGAAAAAATGACAAGAAAGGAATTAGAAGCCCATGATGTCTGAACATGTTAGCATTTTAACATTCTCAAAAACTGTAACTCAGATGAGCTGCAGGAAAACAGGCTTTGAAACGAGTAAACTTACCACTCTTGAACCCTGAGCAGGTTACTGTTTTGATGTTCTTTAACCATTTATTTAAATAGAATGGACTACAGGTTGCTTAAAACTTCTATACTGAGCATTCCAGCCAGAAAATGGCTTTTATTTCACTTGACACTCAAGTAAAACTTTGAGGTGCTTGTTAGTGTCAATGCCGTGAGTGATGTGAACCAAGTTCTATATCTTACTGACTACTCCTGCTCTCCCTGCATTTCCCTCATCTTCTTTGGTCCTTTTCAGTATAGTGTTTATCACTTGCTTCAGTTACTTCCTTATTGGTCAACAGTAATAAGAGTCATGCAACTTTTCTTGTAATAATTCGTTTTTTGCCATTAACCCATGCCCATGTCATTGCTACAAAGTCTTCTAAGAGTGCCAGTTCTTATTAATCTTTTTGTTGTTGTTGTTAAATGAAGTTTTTTTTTTTTTAAAATGAGAGCTTTCTCTTTTTCAGAATAGATTTTAGCTTAATGTAGCATACTAGGTGTCAGTTAACCCAACTAAATCATTTTAAAGAAAAGAAAGGTGAGACTTGTAGGATTTTCTCATGGTCCTACAGGTAGTAACTACTTAAAGGCAATCCATTCAATTAGTCATCAACCTTTTATTGCCTTAGAAGACCAGTATAAGAGTAAGTGTGAAGTGGTTAGTATGGTTTTATGCCTAGGAAGACATTGTGTTTCTAGCAGTAGGTGACTGACTCATAGACACAAATCTGTGTTAACTGTTGACTATCCAACTACACCTTAATGGCAATTGGAAAAGTATAATACCCTGTGAGAAACAAAGAAAAGATAACAAACATCAGAAGAAAATTCTTTTAGAGTGCGTGTTTAGATTTATGTTTAACTAGACGCAGTCTACCAATATCCAAAAGAGATGCTTCCTCTGTTCATTTGAAAACTAATGATGTTAGCTTAATATATAACTCAATAATTTATTAGGAGTTATTTATTAAAGTCCAGATTATTTCCCACCCAAGTCTTTTGTATTTTTTAATTGATATTATTTGGTGTCTCTGATAAAAGATAAATGATACATTTAAAATAGAAAGAATGAAAGAGTAAAACTAGCATGAATTTCATTCTACCATGTGCTGAATGCTTAGACATAGCTTTTGCAGAACATGGTTTATCTGAGTTTCTTCCTCTGTTCTGAAGTCCTTAAAGATTTGAAGAGTTTTGTTCTAACTATTATGTTCAATGAGCTAACCTAGATTTTTTTCCTACCAGGATACCCTGGTTCCAGTCTGGTGCCTAGCAAAACTTGCTTTCCATAGACTAGCCTGCAAAGTTTCTTATTAAGTTGCTTCTGCTGAGATCTCAGAGAGAACCCTTTTTTCACTTTAATATGGAACAATTCAGCAATATGTAATTGCTAAAGATTTCAGGCTTAATCATTCAGCATATTTGTTGCTACACTTGGGATAGCAGAGATACTTTTCTGCTGTATCTTTCAAAAGCACATATGGTAATGATCCTGCTCTACTTATGATGGCCTCAGACCCAGTGTCAGTTTCATTGTTTATCTACTGTATGATCATGGCTAAATAACTAAATCCATTTTTATCTTGGTTGTTTATCAAAAAGCAAAATCTATGGGAACAGTAACATTTATTTGAAAGTTATCTTGAGGATTAAAAGAGAAAATGCAAGTGAAGTCATTTTCAGGGTGTCATAACAGCCATTGTTTCATACATGTTAGTTATTTAATTTTTAGTTCATTATTCAATAGTGTCATATTTACATATAAAAGAAAAAGTTCTTATTGAAATACGGCCTCAGTGGTTTGGGAGAGAGTCAAAAGAAAATTAGAGAGTATGGTTTCCTGTATAAAGATCTGTCATATCCTTGGGGAAATACTGTGGTTAGTAGTTCTGAGAAGACAAAAAAAGCAATCCACAATGAGAACAACTAAGGGTAGATTGATTAAAAGGACATTAAACTAGAGCAATTTCTGGAAAGAATAAAAGAAAAATTTAATAGGACAAAAATGAGAGTATGATCTATTTTTCCATATCATAGAGTACCAGCAATAACTCAATACAGATAATACATAAATACAAGTGAGAAAATGAGTATCAGACAAAAAATCATGGAATACTTCAAATTATAAGAACCTATTATATCAAAATATTGCTAGTTTAAAAAATAATTCAATCTGAAGCAAAGCACATCATTCTTGCTAAATACAAATCACATATTTTAAGAGTTGAAGTGGCTGTTACCTAATCATTATATACTGTCACTTTAACTTTTTCATAGATTATGAAATACGTTACAGTAATTTTGAAGTCATCTGTGAAATAATAGGAAGGGAATACATTTACAGAAGTTAATATTTAAAAATAAACTGCTGTTTGGCCTTGTAATTCTACTGCAGACATTAAAATAGTCCAGGTGGTGAAAAATATCAGATACTGTATGGAATTATATCCTGCCTGCATTTACTTTCATTCAGAGAAAATAATAAGCTTTTTAGACATTACCACTGGATAGAAATTTCTTTGTTTCCAAGTGCTGTGCACTGAAATAATCCAGAAAGACAACTTCCTTTTGTAATCATGACAAATGATTCCTCAATGTCTTGTAGCCTTTTATAAGATTTACTTTGTATCTAGTTAATTAAAATAAGTTATGTTTTATCATACTTTGTGTCATATTTTTCTTTCTTTTAAGCTCTTCAATTTTCCATATTACCAATTCCTGTTGCTTAATTTTTATATGGCGCTGTACAGTAGAAAGACATACTGAAAAGTACAAGAGCAGTTCCTGACTTGGAATTCCACTTACTTCTCTTCCTTCTCCTTATCCTCTTCCTTCTCGTTATTCTTTGTGTACCCTGAAGACAAAGCCTCATTTTTTTTGGTCAAAGTCAACATTCTTACTCATTTTTTAGTCATAGATTATAACTCACTTTCAGAGGAATAAAATAATGTCAAAAACACTTGAAATTGTGGACTTCTTTAAATATATACCATTTATTGTGTTCCTACTTTGAATTCATATGAATTGACATCATGTGACCTTGATAATGAGAGCATCAGAAGAGTAGTACATACTCTGAACAAGAATCACATTGCTCCAACAATTATAATTAGTGTCTTCTGCAGTGATGGCTTGTGGTCATGAATTTAGTTTTTGTTTATCATGCAAGGTTTTTATTTCTCCTTTAATTAAGAAGGAAAGCTTTGCTGGAGACAGTAATCTAGGTTGGCAGCTATTTTCTTTCAGGACTTGAAATACATCATCCCATGCTCTGTTTCCTTTTAGAATTTCTGCAATTAGAATTACTGTTATTCTGATGGGTTTGTCCTTATATGTGACTTAGCACTTCTCTCTTGCTGTTTTAAATATTCTTTTCTTGTTTCATATATTTAATGTTTTTAACTGTGATATGCCTTGAAGAGATTATTTTCTGGCCTTGTCTAAATTGGTGTCCTAATACCTTTCTGTATGTAGATCACTGTCTCTTTCTCAAAATTTAGGAACTTTTCTGCTATTATTTTATTAAATATGTTTTCTATAACCCTACCTTGTACCTCTTCTGTATGCATGATGATTCATAGGTTTGGTCTTTTAATGGTGACCCCGAGATCTTGTATGTTCTGTTCATACTTTCTATTTTTTCTTTATAAGAATGTTCTAGGCTATCTACATTATCTTCAAGCCCTGATATTCTGTTTTCAACTTGATCCAGGCTTTCAAGTGGTTTTTTTATTTGAGTTATTGAAATTTTCTTTTCCATAATTTTAGTTTGTTTTTTCAGTATGTCTACATTTTTATCGAACTTCTCTTTTATGTGCTGCATTGTCTTCCCTATTTTACTCAGCTGGTTATTTGTATTTTCTTGGAATTCATTCAGCCATTTATTTGTGGCCTTTTTCATTGATCATTGATATAATCATTGTCTTGAATATTTTGATGTTTCACCCATTTCACTGTCACTGGATAATGAAATTGCTGAATTTTGTGAGCTTTGGAGGTCATGATGCCTTTTTTTTTTTCATATTGTTTCTG